TCCCCGGCATAAGTCCCCACTGCTGGGCCTACTCGCCAACTTCCGATGCCTTTGCCACAACTGAGCTCTTTAACAGGAGGTAACTAAAATAGAGGAGAAAACACAAAGGGAAAAAAACGAGAAAACAGAGAGAGAAAGAAATAGAATTTAGAATTTCAAATTTAGAAAAGAACGGTACAATCAGGCAGAGTCAATATAGATTGATGAGCATAAAATCATGTTTGACTAACATGTTTTAGTTTTGGAGGATATTACATGTAACATTAATAAAGACGAGCTAGTAACTTTTCAGAAGGCTTTCAATAAGGGCACACAGGCAGTGAGTAAATGAAAATGGAGTGCACGTGGTTGGAAGACATATCTTTGTATGGATTGAGAATTAGTTTACAGATGGCAGTCATACAGTACGGATGAACAGATCATTCTCAGGATGGCAGACTGTTACTATTAGGATATTGCAAAGATCTGTGCTCGGTCCACAGCTACTCAAAAAGTCTACAGAAACAATTTGCATATGGGGACGAATTATAATATTTCCTGATCTACTGAAGACACCAAACGGGGTGGGAAAATAAGTTCTGAGGAGGATGTAAAGAGACATCAAAAGGACATGGACAGGCTAAGTGAATGGGCTCATATATGGCAGATGGAATATAATATGATCAAGTGAAAACTTATTTGCTTTAGTTGAATCAAAAAGAAACAGAAATGTGGAATATTTCTTATATGGTGGGAGGTTATCAAGTCTGGGTATTCAAAGGGACCCGAGTGTCCTTGTCCATCAGTCACTAAAATTTAGCATGCGGTTACAGCAGGCAGTTATGAAGACAAACGGTATGTTGGCTTTTGTCTCATAGGATTTGACTACAGGAGTAAAGTTGTCTTGCAACAGTCGCATAGAGACTTGGTCAGACCTCACCTGGAGTGTTATGTGTGGTTTTGGTTTATTCACGAGAATAAACGCTTGGGTGGTGGGATAGTTTTTAGGAGGAAAGGTCGAGGAAACTACATCAGTATTCCCTATATTTTTAAAGAATGAGGGCTAAACCCATTGAGACTGACAAAATGATACCAGGACATGTCAGGACGGATGTAGATTGGATGTTTCCTCGAGCTGGAAATCAGAAACCCGGAGGCATAATCTCAGAGTAAGGGCAGGTTATTTAAGACTGAAATGAGGAGGAATTTCTTCATTTAGCAGGTGGTAAAAATGTGGAAATCTCCAATGCAGAGAGCTATGGAAGCTCAACGATTGAGCACCTTCACGACTAAAATGGATAGATTTATGGAAACTAGTGACGTCAAGTGATGTGGAGATATTGCGCAAAAGTGGCTTTAACACAAATGATCAGCCATGATTGTAATGAATGGCAAAGCATGCTCAATGGGCTGAATGGCTTAACTCTGTTCTCTGTTTGTTTATTTTCCTGTTCTTGTACCCATTTCAGCTTTTGGATATCTGAAGGGTGGAAGACATTGGAGTGAATTGAGTAGAAGCAAGATATACATGCTTACCTTTCTGCAGCTCACAAATCTGAGGAGATTTTAGAATGGGGAGCAAGTGGGATAAGATAAAGAACATAAGGAATGAGGAACTCATTGTCTTCAATGGCTTCAGTCACATAGTCATCCCTGCCCACAACAGGTCCACTCCCGTTGCCTTGTGTTACACACCAATTTGTCATTCAAGGGGGAGGGTAGTACTTCAGTGAATGTGTTTTGAATGATGCGGTTGTCATGATGGAATAGCACAGAGTCTGCCAAGCTCTGGGATGTGTGACTAAGACTTGCTCCAGTATATGAAGGTGAGATGAAGCACTGAACGAGTAGTGATTAATAGAGATTATTGCTGGTTCAGTGATGGAAATGTGGTGCATCGACCAGCAAGTGCAGCTTATGGGGTTTGGCTATTTTTTAAAATTCTCTCATAGGACCTGGGCATTACTGGCTGGGCAGCCAATTATTGCCCATCACTAATTGCTCAGAGAGTGGTTCAGAGTCAAACACTTTGCTGTGGGTCTGGAGTCACATGTAGGCCAGACCAGGTAAGGATGGCAGTTTCCTTCGCTGAAGAACATTAGTGAGCCAGATGGGCTTTTCCAACAACTGAGATTCCAGATTTTTATTGACTTCAAATTTCGCTATTTGCCATGGTGGGATTTTTACTTGGGTTCCCAGAACTTGGGTCTCTGGAATAATCATCTATTGATAATATCACAAAGCCATCACCTCCCCCTAAGATATGAGAATACACGATATAAGGTAACTTAACTTTTTGCAACAGTACTGCTTCAGTCAGAAGGTACCAATGCTTTCAGTGGTGCCATATGGCTTAAGGGTTGCTAGCCTCACGCAAATCTGGGCCTTCCGCTGCAGTCAGTCAAACGCATATTTATTGCTGCCTGTGATCATGCAAATTAGCAGTAGCACAAAGTTGGCATGCTATCTGCTTTGGAGGTAGGGGCCATGGGTGTAATATAGATTGTGATCCCATTTTCTGCAATCAAATTTTGCCTGGAAAGAAATTTCAGAAGCAGGGAAATGTCAGCAATCCTGTCCTCCTGTAAAAAGGTTAACTGTATCAACTCATCTCCATTGCTTGACTTTGAGATTCCCTGAGTGGCTGGGCCTTTGTTAATAGTGTTGATTCTCTGTCTCCAATGCTTTGTTGTTTTGAAGACACTTTGATCCATGTCTCTCCAGAGAGATGTCTACCACGTGTCCTGTACTTGGTTTCATTATGTTTGCCCTGTAGTACACAGTATGACACTTTTACAGACAGCTTTTTAGAGATAAATATTTAATGGAAAGTGCCTTTTCCTGTGTCTCTAATGTCCTACATTCTTTGGCAAGATACAAGTTACAGTAGCAATATGCAGAATTGACTATGAGTTTGAGCATATGCAATCAGGTTAAAAAAAAACAATCTTCATTACTGGAACCTTTTAACATATGTATTTATTTACAGAAGCTTTTCTTTTAAATGAACCGATTATATAGTTTGCATCAACAGGTTTACGTACGTGACAGATTATGTAATGTCGGCTCAGTATAATGTCATTTGAGGTGCACTTAGAGAAGAGGTATCATATTACCCCCAATTGACAGTGGAACTGCAGTGAAGCTAAGTTTAAAATGATCCCCAAGCTTCGTGCTTTTTAATAGACTGCAGCGACTCGGTTGAACGTAGTGATCTTTTAAACTTTAATTCAGTTGAGATCTGCCTGCTCTCTCTTGACATGGTGACAACATCCTCACTTATAAGTCAATGTCATGGGTTCAAAGAACCACTCTAGGGATCTGAGCACATAATTTAGGCTGAAACTTGTGTGCAGTAATGTCAGGAAACCTGCGCTATTTATGAGATGTTAAACTGAGGTTTTAAGGTGAATACAAAGAAACATTAAAATTGATTTTGATGTGAAAAAGTGAGAAAGTGAACCCTCATCTCATCTGGCTGCTTATTTCTATGTTTTGAGTGAATATGAGAAGATCCAGTAACACTATCGAAAAATCAGGGAGTATCCCAAACATTATTCCACAATGAACTAAGACAGCAGGAGAAAACAAACGAATGGCCACTTCTTTATCTCATGGGGAATCTTTGCCCATTTATTGTGCTTTACACATCTGCAGGACATCCAATAGCACTTTACAGCTGGGGAAGCATTTTTGATATAGAGTGACTGTTGTAAAAAATGCAGCAGCTGATTTGCACTGAGCAAGTTCCCACAGACAGTAATACGGAGCAAATAATTGATTTTGAAGATCATCATCAAATCCCTCCCATGTGGAAACAGGTCATTCAACCTGTCAATTCCACACCAACCCCTCGAAGATCATCCCGCCCAGACCTACCCCGTCCCTGTATTTCCCATAGCTAACTCACCCAGCCTGCACATCCCTTGGACACTATGTGCAATTTAGCATGGCCAATCCACCCTAACCTGCACATCTTTGGAACTGTGGGAAGAAACCGAAGCTAACGCAGGGACATGGGGAGAATGTGCAGACTCCACACAGACATGCCCAAGGGTTGAATTAAACCCAGGATCCTGGCGCTGTGAGGCAGTAGTGCAAACAACTGAGCCACTGTGCTGTCTTTGTTGGATAAATATTGATCAGGACACATGATGTAATTACCTTGTTCTTCTTCAAAATAATATGGATCTCTTGTGTCCAGCGTGGATGGTACATTGGGCCTAGATTTTAATTTTTCATCTGAAAGACTATGTCCCTGACAGCTCAGTCAATTTGCGCTCTGTTCTCCTAAGTGGGACTTGAACTCAAATGTCTGAATCAGAAAATAAAAGCTACCAAGTGAACCATAGCTAGGACAGCAAGAGTCATGGCATTTCAAAGTCATTAGTTAGATGAAATGCTTTCACATAAATAAGTGTAAGTAATTTATTGTTAGAAAAAGAAATAAGCATTTGGATCAAAGCTGGAAACACATGATGAATTATTATGGAACATTATTTTCCTCGTCTTGTGTCCCAGTAAACAAGTCTGAGAGATAGAAATGACTGCAGATGCTGGAAGTGAGAGTCGATAAAATGTGGAGCTGAGGAATACAGCAGGTCAGACAGAATCTGAGGAGCAGGAAAGTCGATGCTCTGGATTTAGACCCTTCACCAGGTTCTGATGTAGGATCCAGATCTGAAACATCGACTTTCCTGCTCCTCAGATAATCCATAGAAATCTGATGGTGGTTTTTAGGATATTGTGATGCATAAAATCAGAAACAACTGTTTTCTCACTAGTTGGGAACCCAGTAAAGTAGAGATATTTTCTGACTATAATCAGCATAGCTATAGAGAATACAATCTAAAGCACTTCTTTTGTAGACTACAATGAATGTTTTAATTGTTGGACTTCTTGGAATTAATTTTTCTATCTTAATGTTCTTTGCAACAAGCAATACATTATCCAATGAGTCATGCCCGTTGCATTGGTGATGGCAAATGTTTGAAGTCTAATTCTAATCTTCTCTCTTTCAGGTGATTCTAATCCTTACAAAGTTGTATGACTACAACCTTGGGAGCGTGACAGAAAGCTCACTTTGGAGGTAAGCGGATGTGAAAGGGCAAAAACACAGCATGCTAGTGAATTCACCGGGAGCAGATGTTCATTGCTTAATCTAGTGTGAAATATTAAGGAGACAGAGACAGCTTGTGGTTTTCCTGAAGCATTAAGTAGAGCAACTTCTTGTGTCTTTCAACTGCAACTGGTGTGTTGGAACTGAATTAATGAGATTCAAACAGTGCAGAGATTGTCACTGAGAAAGTGTTTCTTATATCCATTGGTATCAAAAATGTGACTGCAGTGATAAAGCATAAGATATGTTGATGTGAGAATCATTCAAAGTGATGGCTTACAGCAAGCAATGTTTTGTAAAATTTGTAAAATTTTTCATGGAAAAATACTGACAAAACCGGTGATTAAGCATAATGTGGCTTTATTAGTGTTCTATCTGTACCATGCATACAGTCATGTGTCACCCAAATATTGGAGATGCCAATCAAAAGTCTGAAAGGAATAGGGGTGTTAGCATCTGCCTGATAGTAAGACACAAAATTCTGCAAACAATGCCTCATTGTCAAAGAGGGTGGTGCATAATGGTTTGAACTGCTAGAGGAAGTGGTAGATGTTACAGCAATTAGGAGACATTTGGACAGGTACATGGATAACGAAAAGTTTGGAGGGATATGGGTCAAATGCAGGAAAGTGGGACTAGTTTATTTTGGGAAACTTGGTCAACATGGACGAGTTGGGTGGAAGGGTCTGTTTCCATGTTGTATAACTCTATAAGTACTGCTACAGTAGACTGATCTGAAGTGTTATATATGCTGTGAACAAACCAATACTGGCAACAGTGTGGCCAAATGTGTAGGTTGAATATAATACAATTGTAGCCCTGATGTAGAGTATTGAACATCACTGTCTCTCCTTATTTCACAGGACAATAGGTTGTGATGGCATTAATACTCAAACATATGAGTTTGATGAATAGTAATTATTATTACAGGACTCAAAGAAGTTCCAGTTGTAATTCATTGTATCTGCATGTCCTGAGTTGGATTAAAAGGTGAAAATTAATTCAAAATTTGATTGTTTGGTCCACATAAAAAAGATTGTTTAATGCACCTGTTAAAATATCCCTGGTGAAGATGTTAAATATCTGTACGCTAACATTATTAACAGTGAGTTCCACCTTCCACTAAACAAAAAATGCTTAAAATGTAAATCTTTGACTGAATGAACTAAAATCTTAACCCTGAAGATGTCTACAGTTGCAGGACAGTTATACCAAATGGAAAGTTAAAGGTGTGGAAGATTTTTTTAAGGCAGTGGGCTTCATGATATTTTCCCTTTTGCAGCATTGTGTAAACATTGGCACCTACTTGTAGCATAGTACCAGAGGACCACTTTCTCATGAGACAGAGAAAGACAACGGGTGGTGGTTTAATTTGTGGGTCACCATGCCTCAGGTGAGGGGCGAGATTGAGAAGAAGAGTCATTCATGCTAACCTCAGCCAGTGTGGGAATTGAACGCATGCCGTTGGTGTTATTCAGTATCACAAAACAACCAACCCATCTAACCAACATCACAAATTGTTTACATGATAAGTTTGGGTCATGGGGAGAGGGTTTGGGCGACATAGTGTGGTTCATGCAATGATCCACGAGCCACGGGACAGAAAACCTGTTCTTACATCGGCAACTAGAAATAAAAGGCACTGTATATCAAGTACTGATCGATGTCGGGAAAGTAGGACACACTTGCATGGATCTACAATCATTAACAGAGTCTTTTTTTACAAAACATTTTAAACTGGACCCTTAAGCGATCCCAAGGCAAGCAATTGGCCTAGTTTGAGATGCACTTGGCAAACAGTAATAATATCTCATGCCTGGTGCTCATCACTGGACATCACTTTTATTACAATTGTGTCACACATACCTGTTCTGTCAATTGCATTGCAAATATTAAAGATAAACAGGTGGAGGGTATGGATTGATTAAATATTTTGAGAACATGTAAACAGGAACTGGTAACAGCTCTTGTGGTTCTTTGGTTAACCAGTTAAGTAGTCAATTTCATTACTCAAAACAGGAACTGCTGGGACACTGGCTTGGCAAGTTGGAAGCAGACAGATTTAAATTTTGCTTCGTCTTCTGTATATCTATTCCTGAAGGCATATCGAACCCACAGCACTGCAGCTGTGGGGTAAGGACATAGCTCTCAAATTCAGCCCAGCCAGAACAGAGAATGAAACACATGCCTTTGTCACAAATCTGATCCACATCAGCCATCCAACATGCACTTTGCACTAAATCTCATATGCTAGAAGCGATGAATAGTCATAGTACCCACCACATGACTGACCAGAAATCTATCCCACTGTCATTGGTTGCCAGGGCTATGTGTTGGAAAGACTTACAAGTTGATTCTCTGCCTAGTTGGAGACATTATGAACATGCTTCCTTTCACCACAAAGTCCTGGATTAGGACTTCAACCCAGAACTTTTGGCTCAGAAGGAGGCAGGAGCACGACCCACTGCACGATAAGAACTGCTTGCTTAGTGCTGCATTCTATAAATAAAATAATTCTGAAGCAATAGATTTGTGTCTTGTTTCATTCATTGCCATCTGGATTGGGACACGGCTATCAATAATCTAATGACCTTTCTTCATACTGTGGTACAGACTCATCCTTACTTCATGTGTTTTAGCAATACTCTGATCAAGATATTTATGCAGCTTAATTGTGCCAATGAAAAGTCATCATACTCATCATATATATCATATATCCCAAGGCTAGCAATTGGTCCAGTTTGTGAAACACTTGGCGAACAGTAATTATATAATACGTCTCGGTGCTCTTCACTGGACATCACTTTATATACATTTACTGTAAATATAATATATGACATGTCAAAAATGTGTTTCCTTATGAGGAATAGACTACTGAACAGTGTAACTAAAGCAGCCATATAGCTCCTTTACAACAATATAGCTAAACCTGTAGAGTACAATCCAGAAAATATCATGCTTAAGCCTTAAAATTTTCTGGTCAGATTATTCTTGTGGAGCCCACAAAAGTGGAAGATTCAAACCCTGGCAGAGAAATAGCAGCTATTTCCTTGTGACAGTCAATTAAGTTGACAGAAAAGACACTGAACCTCTAGATCCATTTGCTTTGAAAAGAGATAATTGAGATAGGGGTTTGCAGAGGTATGTAAGGTGCTGGCTTCTGATGAAGAGTCACTGAATTCAAAACATTAACTCTGCTTTCTCTCCACAGATGCTGACAGACCTGCTGAGTTTCTCCAGGAATTTCTGCTTTTGTTTCAGATTTCTAGCATGTGCAGTTCTTTATTTTTATTTTAGTGTAAGGTATTTGTTGTGTAGAAAAGTAAATAAAGGTGTACCATGATAAATCAAGGATACACAAACTAAACTAGTGAAAGATGAGTTTAGGGTGGAGGTCAGGAAGAGCTGGTTTAGGCAGAACCTATTGCATTTCTTGCCAAATCAGTGAGCTAAACTGAATTAAACGATGCTTCACCTGGATTTAACTTGTGCTCATGTGAAAAGCCCAGTGGAGTATCTTACCAGGAATCACCAGAGGACCAGCAAAGTCCATAATGTATGATGTGGATTGTTATTAGTGCATTTGTAATCTCCACAGATCAGCAATCAAGCAGCATGATCTTTCTTACCAATATCCAAAGATATGGAAAGATTTGCAGGTTAGGGGGAATTGGCCAAGCTAAATTGCCCATAGTGACCAGGGATGTGCAGGCTAGGTGGGTTAGCCATGGGAAAATAAAGGTTACATGGATAGGGTAAGGAGGTGTGTCTGGGTGGGATGCTCTTCTGAGGGGCAGTATGGACTCGAAGGGCCGAATGGTCTGCTTCCACACTGTAAGGATTCTGTGATTCTTTGACTACCCAATGAAAAATGCTTTCTGCACTGTTCACGCTGCTTGTCTGTGCAAATCGATTCAGTTTTTCAAAAGAGGTCTATGAGACAGACCAAGCTTTTACACTCAGGTGAAATTTGGTCCTTTTTGTCACTGCTGACAGTATTAGCAGGAACAATATAAGGTATTTCAGAGCAAAATAAAAGCACATTTGATTATGTACAAATTTTTTCAAAATTATGTCAGCCCAGTAATAATCCTCAGCAGATCTGACCAACATCCGTGGAGAGAAAGCAGAATTAAAGTTTTGAGTCCAGTGACATTCTGTCAGAATGGTTCTTAAGAAAGGCTTGATTCTGAAGAAAGGTCATTGGACCTGAAACATTAACTCTGATTCTCTCTCCATACCTTCTTTGCAGCCGTAACTTTGTATCCCTCACTCTGATCTATCATCTTGTGATCTTTGTATGTTAAGATCTGCCTGTACTGCACACAAAACAAAACTTTTCACTCTACTTTGGTACATGAGACAATAATAAATCAATTCAAATCAAGTCAAATGTTGCCAAACCTGCTGAGTCACTCCAGCAATTTCTGTTTTTGTTTCAGATGTCCAGCATTGTCAGTTCTTTGTTTTATCTCATTCCCGTACTATTCCTGTTAGCCAAAACAGCTAAGAAGCTTCACCAACATACTTTCTCAACTGCAACTCATACTGAATGAACAGTGTTTCCTATAGTATGCGAAAAGTGTACCAAGAGAGTAAGTTTATTTTGCAAGTGTATGTTAAAAAGTGGTTATGGAATGTAAAATTCATGCAAGGGGGGAGTTGGGACATAAGAATAAATAAAATTCATGGCAGCTGTTTCAGTCTGTGTTCTCAAACAGTGTAACACACTTCGCATTGTCCAGTAGCAGTACAGTAAGGTGTCTGACTCAGCATCTGCTGGTATTTCCCATCCAATTTCCAATCTGCTGACATTCACTCAATTTGCATCATACTTTACTGAGCACCACCCAATATGCTCACAAGCTACCATCCAATTCCCAAGTTGCCAGCTCCTGCCTAAATCTAGATCTGACCTTGCCGGTGGTGCCCCAGTGCTAACTTGTGGTGGTATGGCCACATTTCCTTTA